GGCCTGCAGTGCAAAATGGTAACATATTATTGGGATGTACAATACAAGTTTTACTTTTTTTTGTTAGTAGCAATGATCGAACCTGGAACCACAGGAATTCCTATATATATATCTATTGCTGTTATTTACTGACTGGCTGATGGCCTGTTCTAATGAATGCCTACATGTGGCTCCCCCTAACATGAGTTATCACCTGAAAGCAGAAGGGGAGCCATTATTATCAAATATAATATTCAAATGGCAATCTTGTTTCATTTCCGTACAGGTGACATCAAGTTCCAGTCCCATCCTATTAAACAAAGCAAGCTACTGATGTGTTCCAAAACTGCTGGCCACTCATAGCAGTTGCCACTTTCTGCCATTCACTAATCTTTTGTCACGATCCTGCAGACAAGACCAAGCATGTGCTTGGCTTCCCTCCACCAACTTATATGAGGTCCTGTCACACATACCCAGCTGCCTAGAGCCAGGGTTCTCCAGCCCTCCAAACAAGCAGTTCTGTTGAGATCCTCCATTCCCTGCCTACTCACAGTACTGAACTGGAGGAGGGGGGGACATGAGATATAAAATTTATCGTGTTTATAATACACTGTAAAAATTACATTTCACTTCATGACCAGAGGGTATGTACATCTATCAAACAAGATCCAGAAATGCTGGCCCAGAAGAATGAACATGAGATGACATAACTGTGGCATGGGGGCTCATTGATGGTGCACAACCGAAGTAGAATACGCTGCACGGTGTGTTGGACTGTGTTTACAGAGCTGTTGCCTGGCAACACGATCAAATCTGTTAAGAATACTGTAAATCAGAACATGCTATACATGATGAAACAAAACTCATGCACAAGCTCTCCATAGTGTCATCCCATGGTCAGAAAAGGAAGAACGTCAAATATAACGTATAGCACATGACCTATGATGTTTAGTTTTCAACATACACTTTACTGCCAAGTGGCACAAGCTGTGGAATGATCAACTCATGGGCCATTTGGAAGTTACAAAGATGTGTTCCAATCAGTGCCTGGCATAGTACTCTCTCAAATACATCCCCATATGCTGCCAGTGACCATTGTTACAGCTCCTTGAAGTCTTGCTACCACAGGATCCCACAACCAAGGAGGCTTCCATGTCCAGTGTGCTGCAATTCCTCTGTGCTAAACCACGACCTCTGACACACAGCTAGAGGTATATATTCTGGTAGCAGATAGGGTACCACATCATCATCACAGATCATTACCCCATGTGTGAGGTGGATGTTGAACATACTTGCTTCATCTGTCCACAGAATAATACCTGAAGTGAGTTCGTCTGCAGTATGTTGGTGTTGTAGCCACTCACAGCACTGCATCCGTTGAGGACCGTCTAACACAGAACAGTGCTATGCAAGTAGTGGTACAGATACAACTGATCCTCATGAAGTACTATGAGGACCCTCAGTTGGGATAGCTCCCAGTTATTGTATAATATCGCCTATGCTCCCATTCCACGACTGCCGTTATGACACCAACATTGGCTGATAACTGTAGTCCCTGGGTGACCTGCATTCAAGTGTGTTGCAGATGTAACATGGAGGCGCTGCTCCCATCTTTGAAACACATCAGCACACCTATTATCATCTGGATAATGCAGCACATGCTCCCGTGCAGCAGTACCAGCTCCACTGTTACACACACACTGAGGTTCAGGAGCATGTCACAGCATTCTGTGTGTGTCTTGAGTACTCACTACAACACTGCCGAGAAACATGTTACCACATCTGACAGTGACATTCATCTCCAGAAATGACTAGCACAAACTAGAAATGTGTTGGTTTGCTCTCATTCTGAAGAGGCCTCTCTGATGGATGTTGTGCAGTGGGGGAGTACATTCCATGTAATGGTTACTGACAACTGTCCACTGAAAAAAGTGTCAGGATGTTCCTCCCCAATGTCAGTAATCTACCTTACAAGCAGCATGTACTGCCACTTCCCTTGCGGGGACAGCATCACTTAATGTTCCCTCATTTATGCATTTTCCTTGTTTAATGTTTAATTTTAAGCATCTCAAGTCAATAATCATCTCAGTGTTATGTTACATGTATCTAAGATTGTCTTCAGGTTAGTTAGTTAAGTTATTTAGAGAGGGTGGGTTTCCCCATGCACCATGACCAGTGTGATCTATTGTGCTTCCCTCCATGATATTCTACCAGTCTCTATACCCTACCGATAAATTTATATTTATATTTATTCAGCATTCCATAAATCCTTACATGGTTTTCAAAAAACACCACGGATATAGAAGTAGTCAACATGAGTAAGCATAATTACATACTGCATCACATTTGTGCAATGTCATAACAGTAGCCATATATAAATATTTACAAAAATATGAATACATGAATACATGAACATGGATATAGAAGAAGTCAACATGAGTAAGCGTAATTACATACTGCATAACAATTGTGCAATGTCATAACAGTTAGCCATATATAAATATTAATAAAACATGAATACATGAACATAAACCGTCACATGCAACAATAAAGTGCTATTACCTACAATCTGTAACAAAATCAGGAACATCAGTTGTTA